GTAGGGAAAAATAACCAAAAATCTCCACGATAGAAGTTAGATATCCAGCGATCTTGATTCATGAGTTCACATTTGCTTGACTTTTTTCTTCATTGTTTTTTGTTTTGTATTTTCCATCTCTTAGGTGATTATCAATGTAACATAGTTAAGAACAGAGCAGAGGTAAACTACCCAGTTCTTGTGACAGTGGCTCTTAAACTTTCTTGAGCATGAGAAGCACCTGGAGAGTTTATTTTAAACACAGACTGCTGGTCCCATGCCCAGAGCTTCTGGTCAGCACATCCGGGTGAGACCTGAGATACACATTTCCAGCGTCTAGGTAATTTTTATTCTCTTGATTCCAAAGCCACACTTTAAGAAACACTTTCTTATGAGGTAAATGACAACTATTTTCTCCTGTGTAAAAGGAGAGTTCTGTACCTGCCACCTATAGCTGTTAAATGAATCATTATATGCAAAATGCTTTCAATTAAATGATACTATGCAAGCATAGCAAATCAATTAACTTTGTGCCTTTGGCCCATTCTGTTATTACCCATTTGTTTTCTTGTGTTGGTTTTGTTTTTCTAATGGCTTGCTTAGCAGGGACTTCTTTTCCTATACTTCACATCAAGAAGGTATGTGAACTTTGGAGACTGAGTGATTAAATTAACCAAACAATGTATGATTTCTAGTCGACTCATCCATTATTTGACCCTGCGTGAGATAAGTTATTTTCTGCATGTGGTAATGAAATTGAAGGTTTGTGCTAGTCAGATCTATGGATCATTTTGAAGGAAGGCACAAGCTGGGATGGAAAGATACAGGGAACATTTACTTTTCTTAATTCATTAGATTGAAAAACATATTGTCATTAATCTCTTCAAAATACCCCTTCACACACTTCAAATGCATTTAATCCCATTATTCTTGCCACTTTCTGAAGCAGCTCTGGAAGTCCTCTTTCATGAGTGTCTTTTGTTGCACTATCTTGGCTGATTTGGTTCAAGATTTGTTTTTAATTTTTAAATTTATTTTAAAGATAATAAAATCCAGGGGCTGGGGATTTAGCTCAGCGGCATAAGCGCCTGCCTTGCAAGCAGGCAGTCGTGAGTTCGATCCCTGGTACCGATAAAAAGGAAAAAGACAAAAAAAAAATAATAATAATAAAATCCAAAAAAAACCCAGGACAAAGCCAATCAAAACAAAGCAGCAAAACTGGTACAGAACTTCAAAGCAGGATACTAGGAAAACAACAGCTCCCATAGTATATCTTCTTGTCTTCTCAGGAGTTGTCCATTCCATCAGATACAGCAAAATCAAACAGAACAAAACCAATCAAAACAACATTGAACAAAGCAAAGCAATTAATCAGAACACAGCAAAATAGTGAGAACAATATCGGATTTGAAAGACAAAACAGAAGGAAACCTCCATATTTGCAATACTGCATACTCACCTTTATCAACCTATTACCTGTGCCTTCGCAGGGCGATGTGCTGTTTTCTGCTCTTACAGGGACTCTTCCATTATTTAAGGCTTTATGTGCTATGATGCTATTTATTTTAATGAACAATCTGTTTTATACAGTGTAATGTTATACAACTTGCATTCTGATTTTTTTTAACATTATAAACTATTTTAACCTAAATTCTGTATATAATTTTAGGGATCATGCCATAATTTGCATAAAATTCTCATTGCTGAACACCCAACAGGAGAAAACTGGTTGAGTAATGGGAGTGCACTAATATAATAAAACAGCACCATTTGAAAAGATATTGGGAGGGTATATCTCTTAAAACAGAAATGTGTTCGTGATTATATGTAAAATGAGAAGGTTTTGCCTCCCACATCTCTTACCATTCACTGACTCAGTCTCAGTGGCTTTCTAATTTGAGGAACCTCAGGGGTACCAAAGGGGCCTTATTAAATATTTCAGGCTTCATCCATGGAATTGATTTAGTAGATAAAGACTCCTCGCACAAGGATTCCAGGTGATTCTGATGCAAGAATGGTACACCTCCCATTTCTGCCTGTCGAAGCTTTCCTGCCTTTCCAAGCTTCTCCATTGCCCCTGGACGCCTTATTGTCTACTTTCTTGTCTTGTACATTGTAGTGAATCCTCCTAAACTGTGAAAGTTTTTTTGATCCTCCAGACAAATTCAGTTGGACACACATGTCATAGTCCTGAGATTTGTGTCAAATCCTGAGTTACTGACTATAGATACTAAAGTATCTGGAATGCAAATTTGGTTTACTATGTGGTGAAAAGAGACAGAACTCTTTAGCATACTTGTCATTAACTCAAATTCTGGGAAAGAGAATTGACCTTTACAGTCTTGGTAATAAAAGAAAAATCGTGCTTAAATCATCCTTACTTGGGCAATCAGGCTGTTAAAAGTAAATGCTTTATCTTTTGTGCACCTACTCTGGCCTAGGCCAGAGACAGCCAGAGTGAGTTGAAGAGGCTGGTCATCCCCAAAGATTTCACAGGCTAGTGATTGGTTTCCATTCTCAGACTTGGTACCACTGAAGTTGTTCAGGGTGAGTTGCGTGTCTTGCAGTTCACTTAGAGTTCCTTTGTGCTGAATTGAGAGTGTGTTACCCCCAAATACTTCTGCACTGAGGTTTGATTGGTTTGAGTTCCTTCCCTAAACTAAATAATATAGTATACCCATGTCAAGTAAAATTTGTGTTGTCATCTGCCATGCTTTATGCAATGAGCCAGCTATTGCAGACTAAACAGTTATAAATAACAATTGAAAAATATTGTGTTGAGATAATATTTGGTTTTTCTCTTGCTTATGAGGGAAGACTATACTCCATATAAATCTGTCATTATTCTTACTTCAAAAAATTAATGGTTATAGAAAAGAATTCCTAAGAAGTAAACTAAAAGAACCAAGTTTAACAGCTCACTCAAAACTGCTGCCTTGTTTCACATGAAGACGTTAACTTTGTCTGACTGAAGTTCAAGATGAACAGAGAATCGATACTATGAGGGGAACGAGGGTCCTGGTGGTCAAATGCTTCTGGTAGGGAATGACCAAATAGATTGTTACATGTGCACATGGCAAACCCAAAATCATTCATTAGAACCCTGTTCAGAAGCATCATCTATAAAATCACACATCTGTAAAGCATTTAATAATCCCTTCTTGGAAAAAATTAACCAAGTTTCTCTAAAACCAGAGCTTATGATTAGGCATGTCACACTGAAGTCAATTATGTGTGCATGTTACCACTCTACGAGGTCAGAAAGTCAGGGGCTACGGATATCTCACTGCTACAGCAAGGGCTTAGCAACAACCCCCAAAATTAAAACAACACTGAGATTCTTTCTCACCCCAGAAAGAATGGCTATCATCAAGGAATCAACCAATTGCAAACGCTAAAGGGGCTTTTCAGGGAAAGGAACACTTCTCCACTGTTGGTGGGAGTGTAGACAGGTGCAACCACTGTGGAGATCAGTGTGGAGATTCCTCAAAAAACTAGGACTAGAGACCCCAATGGACCCAGCTATTCCCCTTCCTGGTATTTTCCCAGAAGAATTAAAAACATCATATCACAGCAATATATGTGCACCCATGGTTATAGCAGCACAATTTATAATAGCTAAATCTTGGAAACAACCCAAATACCCTTAACTTAAGAAAGGATAAAAAGATGTGGTGTTATTATATAATGGAGTACCACTTAGCCATAAAGAAGGATAAACTTGAAGCTTTTATAGGTAAAGGGATACAACTAGAGACCATATTCAGAAGTGAAATAAAACCAGACTCCCATGCATAGACATCAAATTGTCTCCCTAGTGTAAGAAACTGAAAGTAAATAAGATCCAAAATGTACAATACATATAGTGAAAGGGGAAGAAACTGCTCAAAAGGAAATAACAATTGGGATGGGAGAAAGGAAAAAAGAAGAAAAAAAATATACACAAGATAGCTAAGATAATTATACTACTATCATGTAGACTAGGGTTCAATTTTTGACTTTGAGGCTCAAATCATAGCCTCAAATTGGCTGTGTGACTGTCAGCACTTAATATGTTTGAAGATCCACTTTCTCATTTATAAATCTGATTAGTAACCCATCTCAGTGGGTCACAACAAGGGATTACGTGGAATTAGGTGGACCAGAGTACCTGTAATGTTTACACAGACCAAATCATCTTGTTTCGATCCTTCCTTACCCAAATCACAGTCTGAGGCAGAGCTGGGAGTTAGTGTTTTCCTTAGCATTGTCAGGACAGGCTATAGTTTCTAGTTGACAGAATTCATACACATTAAAGACACACTTATTTTAGTAGATAAAGGATCAGGTTGTTAAAAGTAAATGCTTACAGGGCATGGTGACACATGCTTGTAATTCCAGCACTTGGGAGGCTGAGGCTGTGAGTTCAAGGCCAGCCTGAACTGCATAGAGAAACATGGTCTCAAAAAGAACAACAACAACAAAAGCTTTGTCTTTTGTGCATTTACTCTGGTCTAGGCCACAGGTGGCCAGTGTTAGTTGAAAAGGCCATGTCACATCTGCATTTGAGTTCAAGTTTCAGGATTTCTTACTTAAAAACAATCTCCTTCTTCAATAAATGTTTTATTGCTGTTGCTTTTTTTTTTAAACTGTCTTTGCAGTGTAAGCTATGGCTCACTTCCAGTCAGCCATCAGCTATAACTTTGTGTAATTGTGTACCCAGCAAGATTATTTCTATGAAGGTCTAGGATCTCATAACAAAATATATAAGTATTTTGGAAAAATAAGATCTATGTAACCTAGTAAGTGCTCAAGTTTTAAAAAATCACATTCTAGTGTAGCATTTGTGTTAAATAGAAAGGGTTTCCTTAAATTCTGGCAGTAAACAAAGACCACTGTAAGCACGGAAATGTTAGTCACCATGAAATGTTAAAGCAATCAGGTGGGAGCAGCAACATCATTGGTCTCCTGCTCTCACTCCTGCAGAGTTCATCTGTCATTTTACGAGACAACTTATTTTTCTCTTTTTCTTCCCTGTAAAGGTAGAAACCTGTGGGTCCTCGTTGTGGGTCAGTTTCCCAAGGAGCACAGAATTGGGATTCCAGAGTTCAAATACGTGGCAAATATGCATGGAGATGAGGTAGGTACACAGGGTGAACGTCTGAGTCGTCACAGAGAACCTTCCCTCAGATCTCTCGGGCTCTGAAAGCAGGAAGCCGCGTGCACTGTAGCAAAGGACGCTGAAAGGATTCCCATTGGGACCCTCTGGGAGAGTTTAGGAGCCAGAGTCGGAAGACATTTGGTTGTGCCTGGGAGAGAAGCCTGCGCTGAACTCCTGCCAGCCCCGCCCTCCCAGCCTCCCTGGGCTGATTCTCCTACTCCTCCTCCATGTTAAGGAGATCCAACCCAGGAGCTCCATTGTGTTTGAACTCAAAACAATCAGAAAGTCCCAGACACCTATCCAGACTCCTCACCTCTGATTTTTAAAATTCTTTTGTCAGTCCTTTCATCTAAAATTCAGTATTTTTGATGTTCATGTTTAGGGTTCTCTGACACCTACCATTCAAAAAACACTCTTAAATTCCTTAACAGTGTCTCCCTACTTTTCCCAGTTAGAAGAAGTCAACTCAATTTTTAGTTTGTTTTGCAAAGTATCCTTTAACTTATCTGAGATGCCCAGCCAATCTGCCCACACAGTGGGAGATGTCCACTGTTCTTTCTTGCCTTCGTTCCTTAAAATATTTTAAGAACATGACAATTGCAGTACTTGTGTTTACTGGATTCCGTACAATGGACAACCAAGGAGAATGAAAGAAGGTTCCCCATCATTATAATAAAGGAAATTTACATGGGAATATGTGGAATAGCCTCTATAAAACACACTTAACTTCAAAGACTTTCAGAGTAAATCATATCCCAATCCGACAGCCTGCTGACTTGTTAAAACACTCCAATTTGCCCTCATGTAGGCAATGTGCTCTAATGGATGCTGAGTTTCCTGACCTGGCTTAACCCTCCCCAAACTCAAGCTCTACAGGAACAGCTCCACCCTTCCTGACCCGCACAGCCTGCCCTGGCCAGGCATGCTGCCCTACTGGTCCTAAGAGCTCAGAGGCACACACCTGATCCAAGACAGGAGTAAGTCCTTGTGCCTGATTTGGGGTAGGCGAAGACCCATCTGGAACTTTTTGAGTGCAATGGACTCTTTCTTTAAAAGGTTGTGTTGCTGGGAGTCTGACCAGAGTTCCTTTAGTAAAAACAACTACTATACACAGCAGCAAGGACTTCCTTTACTTTTTGCTATCTGTTCTATCAGACCAAGGTTCCTTGAATTCTACTTTTAATGAGAGACACATGGCACTTCCTGCCTTCAATAGTTTATTTAATTCATGACTTATCAGTGGTTATAGTCTGCTACTCAGAAGTGAAACTACTAAATATAAGCAAGGGACTTTGCTCTCACTTACCCCCAAATTTGCTTATTTTTTCCACACACTTTCCCAGATTTCTGGAATCTTTCTCTCTGGGTAGATCATGTTCCCTGTCAAGTAAGGACTCTCTGGAACACTGTGATTCTGAGGACTGAAATTAGATGGAGAGAAAGGTCTCAGTGTGCACTGGGATCGGGATCTGAAGCACAGGTGCCCTTTTGTATTCCCATTGATGGCAGTGTCTGGGTCTCTATGAAGCTGTTAAGAAATTTATTCTTCTGGGGGTTGGGGATTTAGCTCAGTGGTGTAAGCACCTGCCTGGCAAGTGCAAGGTCATGAGTTTGATCCCTGGTACCAAAAAAAAGAAAAGAAATTTATTATTCTGAATTTGAGGTCTGTGTATCTCCTGCCATTCGGAGCTGGAGAAAAGGATGCCCTAAACTAGAACAGAGGAATCACTCTGAGTATATCTTGTTCCCTTTAGATCTTTTGGAATTGAAAGCATCTTTTAATGTTTTCCAAAACTTTTCAATGCTTTCAATCCTACTAAAAAGCAACAGAGCTAATCTTTTAGGACAGTGGTTCTTAACCTTTTTAGAACAGATTCTTGCTATAGACTTCACCTCTGACTTCAAAGTCCCTGGATTTTTTTGGAGTTCATAAATTTAACATGAAGAATCCCAACAGGAGGTACATACACACTGAGTAGTATGGTGGACATAATTGACCACACTATTTTAAAACATTTCCTCTACCCTGGCCCTCATCCCATATTGTGTGTGTGAGAGTGTGTGTGTGTGTGTGTGTGTGTGTGTGTGTGTGTGTGTGTGTGTGTGGTTTTTGCTCTTGAGACCATGGCTCCATGACAGTGAGCAGCAGCAGGATCCAGGGGATCCAATTCTATCACAGGGCTCTAGAATCACCTTGCAGAGCTCCCAGACAAGGTAGCCATGAGGAGCTTTGGATGCCTGTGTTCCACCTTTCCATTTTAATAGGATGAGCAGATGTTTTCCTAGTTCATCCAGGCCCTGGTTTGCACATATTAAAATAATGAACTGTAGAAACCCCAATTCTGGGTTTAATTTATGCAAGTTCCTACCTGACACACCTAAAATCTAGTCACTTTAGGAAGGGTTGGTGACAATACACATAGAATAGGACTCTGCTTTTCTCTTAATTCAGATTGTTTAGGGGTAAGATGTTTGTCCCCCTTCTCTTCCCCACAACCTCATTCTGCCATAGCCAGTATTTAAAATCGAGCTTTCTAAATATAGTGGCCTGGACAATCTCCACTTTTATTCCTTCCTCAAGTTCTCCCTGTCCTGTCTCCTACCCCATGAGTTTCAAATTTTGCACACATGGAGAAGTATCTCACTTGGGCAATCCCTAGTTGGGTAAGAGCTGTGTAATTCCTCTCCAGTAGAAATCTGAAGAGAGGTATGTCTATGTGCTTTAAGAATCAGGTTCCCAGAGTGTTAAGCTAACAAGCAACACTCAGGTCAGAGTCTGGGCTCCAGCTCAGCTTCCCCCAACTCAGAGCGTGGGTCCCCTTAACTGTGGATGCAGGTATTCATATGTGTTTGTTAAGTTTACCTGAATTGCAATTATGATATTTATTTAGTTTTGCCTACAGATTTCTTAAGCAAATAAGCTTCTGTTTCTTAATTACCAAATGAACAAATGAATTATTTTCACCATGAGTGTTTATTTGGGTATAGACTTTTGAAAAATCCATATCACATTTAGAATTCTCCATCTGGTGACATTTGTTTACAGCTTATTGTATTCCAGATAGGCTGGAAAAAAAACATTCTCTGGATCATTGCAAGCATATTTTTCAACTAAAAATAAAAGATAAAGGACAAATGATTTTTTACACATCTTTTAGGTATAAAAGTTTATGAGATGCAATTTATATGTTTAAATTTTTGTGTTTAGAGGGTATTTTAAAGGCTTATCAATCAATAGCACATCATATTTGAAATTGTGCTTGTCCTGGATAATCTAGGATATGTATTCAACGTGTGATAGAGGTTCCAAATTTGTTAAAGCAAAAAATAAATAAATAAATAAAGCCTGTCCTTCCAAATGTTACTCCACAAGTTCTTTATATCTTGCGCAAGGATCCAGAGGAAAATGGTTAGGATCTCTGCCATCAAGGCTTGGCGGGGAGGGGATGGTCAGTGACGTAATCATCCTGGATGTGCGTAGCATTAGGTGGCATGAATTAGATATGCAGGTGTGTAGTGTGACAAGGGCTTTGATCCCAGGCATGGAAGAACAGAAGATATATGCCAGACGGTGTCGTCTTCGGGCTTCTTCCTCCCTCTTTTTACAATGCTGAGAACCAAATCCAGGGCCTCACTTGTACCAGGCAAGTGCTCTACCCGTGAGCCACATCCCCTAAGGGCTGACATTTGAACAGGATTAGCTGAATCAAATCTGTAACACAACATTTTTGCCCCAGACCTGACGAGCTTATTTTCCCCCAGAAGTTGCATTACAGCATGGCATTTTGAAATAGATTCTATCATTAGGGTAGCTGAAGTTTTGGGCTCCATCCTTCTCTCCCCACTACATGCGTTGTGGATTGTTCTTCAAAAATTTCCCACTGTTTATAAAAGATCTTTGAAGAGCTAGACTCATTTTTATGTATCTGGCAAATTCCAAGTTGGCTGAATGGAAGTAAACCTGATAGAGAACGTATTTTCTGCTTCCTGGGTTATTGCCATGTTAACGCTGCTTGATTCCCCCGTGAAAGGCTCCAGAAGCTGCTGTGTGCACATCAAGCTTTCCAGTTGCTTGTTGTTAGAGACCCTTTCATGAAGTCTGCACTACACACAAAGGAAGTGAGCAGGCTGAATACCAGGCTGGTGAGGCTGGTGGAAACTGTTTTGACCACATTCTTTCTTCAAATTTGAACTCTCCAAGGTTTCATATTCAAAGACTTAATTCTAAAGTCTTAAAATTAGCGAGGGAGGGAAGTCTATACATAAAACATGAATGAGTGTTTGGGACATTTATATTAAGGTTGGGAAGAATTAATCTGAATATTTGGCATGAATCTACTATTACAGAGACAGCAAATATGGCCCAACAGAAAAATGAGAAGTTTTAACTCCCTCTGAAATTTTATCTGTTTACTGCAGCATTTTTTAAATTATCTGTTAGTTGACTCTTTTTCATCTTTCCAAGGTTTTTATTTACCCTCTGATTTGCTGTAGAATACTGAGACAGACAGAAAATACTTTGTTTACTCACTTCCCTAAAAGAATCATGATTTCATTGGTTTTGTAAAAATGCCAAAGGTTTTCTTTAATTAAAAAAATGATATTACAAAAATAAAAGGAAATAAAACAGAATATTGTTTTCCAGAATAGCTATTAATATTTATCAAACATCATTATAGACACTTACAGGCATATTTCGGTAATAACAGAAATTAAATAAATACAAAATAGGATATTGTCACGTTATGTATGGTATCTCTAAATAAGATGTATGAAATTTAATCATATTTAAATTTATTAACAGAAGAATAAAACTGAAAGGAAACTAAAATAGCTGGTGAACTTGATAAATATTTTCTCAAAACAAATTGCCAAAAGTTCTTTCTAAAGTTAGAAAAAATTATGGAAAAACTTTGAAACCATAGTCAATAAATATATACATATTTAAAGTCTGATATCTTATGAACCTTTGCAAAGAAAAGTAAAGAAAGCGGCACTTTGCAAATCCTGCTCTCTCCTCTTTCCCTCTTCTTCAGCCCCGGCCCCTCTGAGGCTAATTATAAACTTCACTTTTACATTCTGATCTACACCCGTTCCACAGTTGTTTAATCTAGTTCTTTACCTCAGTTTGGTTTTGATTCAAGCCAGACTCTTTACTCATCTTTATTCATCAGCTTTTGGTTGGGTAAATTTTATTGTCAGCTCCTGATTTGAGTACTTGCTGCCTGAGAATGTTTTCAAGTGTCCAAACCAGATATTCACAGCATAGGAATTCTGACGTCCTCCTGACCTGGGATTCAGAGCAGTCTTGGACTTCTTGACTAACATGGCCTGTGGTCTCTAATACCAGTTAGAGATTTTAGAAACTACAACAGACTTCCTGATCACGTCTTTCCCCTTTTTCTTTACCTGTTTTTCACTCCTGCTCCTTTCTAAGAAAGCTCCTTATGCCAACTGCCCTTTCATATTTGAAATCCAAGCCTTCCACACTGCATTTTGGAAAGCCAGGGATGGCTTGGGCTCCCAATCATGTTCTGCCTTAGCTCATGTGGGCCATCCATGACTATTTTTGTTTGTTAGCTTGTAAGAGCTTTTTCCAGTGAAGATTTGGATTGTGAAAACAAGTCACAATAGTGGAGGAAAGAGATAAAAATGAGTAGGAAGTCAGGATTGATTGATTTCTGCTGCTAATTTTATGACTGCCCATAAGTATATAATTTGTTTAGCCCCAAATTTTCTTAGTCCCAATGTCAATTACTGTATGTTCATTAGTGTGACAAATGTATAAAATATGGTCTCTTTGCTGCATGCCAGTGAGAAGGGGACACGGAGGAGTAACCATTCAAGGATTACTCTGTCTTTTGTTGTGTGGTGCTACTTCTTTGGTAAATAGCAACTGAAAACTCTTTTGAGGCTCTATTAAATCTTTTCCTGTGAGGTGTCAACTTTAATTTCTCGGCAGCAATGTCTTTATTTAACCATCCACTGCCCCTGATTTCCCATTTATTAGCATTTCAAAAACATCTGGCCTTCAGAAGCACATTCCTTGAGTCTAGTATTCTTGGAAGAAGCTGCTGTAATCTAATCAACTTTTCCAGTTATAAGGCTGAAATCTAAATAACTTCAGGAAGAAAACTAAGGTGGGCATGGTGCCACAGGCCTCAAATCTCAGCTCCCCAGGAGGCAGGGGTGGGAGAATTGCAAGTTTGAGCCCAGCCTGGGCAAGTTAGAGACTTAGCAAGGCCCTCACTGTAACTAAAAAGGTGGGAGGCCAGGTGCAGCTCGGCTAGGAGGCCCCTGCTCAGTCCCTAGTACCACACGATGAAAGGTAGGAGAGGGAAAGGGAAGGGAAGAGATGAGAGGAGAGGAGGTGAGGAGGACAGGCAACAAAGGAAGGAAGGAAGGAGGGGAAGGGAGAGAGGGAAGAAAAGGGAGGGAGAGGATACATTTCTTGTATTATTAAGGAAAATCTCTCACAGTTCATTTTCAAGTCCTCGGTGGTATTGAAGACAATTTTAAGTGAAGATAACACTTTATATTTTAATGCCTAGCATGGTGGCACATGCCTGTAATCCCAATACTCTGGAGACTGAAGCAAGAGGACTGCCATAAATTCCAGGCCAGACTGGATTACATAATGAGCTCAAGATCAGCCTCGCTACAGAGTAAGATCCTGTCTCCAAAAAAAAAAAAAAAAAAGATGAAAGAAGGAAAGAAAACAAACAAAGATTTAAGCTTTATTAATCAGGCTTTTACCTAATATATGTTAGAAATATCTGTCTCCAGCAAAGTGGTAATGATATAAACTTTTATTTTTAATGTAAGCAAAAAGTGAACACATCTAAAGAAAATATAAATTAAATAATAGTATACAGATGATAAGTACCTATGGCAAAAATTGTGAAGATGATGTCCATATTCCTCACGTTTCCGAAACATGAGAACGCAGAAGTCAGAAGTACGTAGATAGGACAAACATTGCCCAAATGCACAAGAGGAGAACTTGCAAATAGGACAATATGGAAATCAGAAACCTATTTAGAGTATGCGTATTAAATCCACAATTTTCATGTGGCGGTGGTTTGCACATACGCCTCACGTCCTTGCCGAGCTATACAATTCCGTGCCTTCTCCGTAACTCCTTTCCTCTACAAACTTTCTTGGAAGGCAAGCAAATGGAAAACGTTGTCATAAGAAGGACGCTTGCTCTAATTCATTTTTGAAAGAGTGAACTATTGTCCTCAGCGCCAAGAAAATAAGGAAAAATAATAAGTTACTTACAAAGGAGCATTTTAACTTTATCTGGCAAGTACTTCGCAGCACGTCCTGTGATCCATTGCGGGGCCAGACTGTCAGAGTGCTTGCATAACGTGGCTTCACAAGCTAAGCTTGGTCTAACCTATGTGCAAAGTCCCCTGAGAGAGTCCTTATCTGGGGACTGTTTCCCTTGTTGCCTCAGACTGAGTAACACCCCTCTTCTCTTTCACACCCAGACCGTCGGGCGGGAACTGCTACTCCATCTAATTCACTATCTGGTAACCAGGCATGGGAAAGACCTTGAAATCACAAACCTAATCAACAGTACCCGGATACACATTATGCCTTCAATGAACCCAGATGGATTTGAAGCTGTCCGAAAGCCTGACTGTTACTACAGTAACGGACGGTAAAGATGGGCTGCCCTAACGTTATGGGCACCTTGGACCCTGGGAAGAAGAGGCGCCTCCGAGCCTATGAGCCTGTCATCAGTGTACAACCGTGAGGCCTGCCTGCTGCTGGAGGAGGGGACTGGCACTCAAGGCTCCCAGTACCGCCCACCCTCTGCTGCCACTACTGTTTGTTATCAATTGCTATATATGGAACCACCCCAAAATTTGATGATATAAAACAACAGCCTTTTTATTTACTCTCAGTTGTGTGAGTCAGGAGTCCAGGCAGGGCAGAGAAATCTCCATACCATTATGAGGGCCTCAGCCTGGATCTCTCTGGCCTTAGCCTGAGGCCACGTGGCCTGAGACTCATTCTGGCTGTCACCTGGATTCTTCATTCCCCCATGAAGGCTCTTCGTGTGGCTACCATTGGAGCATCAGCGCTCTAAAAGGGTGTGTTCTAAGAACACAAGTCCCAAAATGCAAACACTTTTCAAGCCTCTGTTTGCCTCACAATAGCTAATGTCCCATTGGTGAGAGAGAGCAGGTTACATGGGAGGAGACCACGCAGAGTGGGAGTGCCAGGTGTGTTTCATAGGAGGCCAGCAAGGCCATGCTGGTACCCACACAGGGGAAGCACCTGGAGCCTGAGCCAAATGTCAGTGCACAGCAAGAGTGTCCTCCCACACAGGCCATCAATAAACCCTAATAGATTCTTTCTTTTAAAGGGAAAATTACAACCAGTATGACCTGAATAGAAATTTTCCTGATGCTTTTGAATATAATAATGTATCAAGACAGCCTGAGACTCTGGCAGTCATGAAGTGGCTGAAATCAGAGACATTTGTCCTCTCTGCAAACCTGCATGGTGGTGCCCTCGTGGCCAGTTACCCGTTTGATAACGGTGATCCAGGTAAGCAACCGTGGCCCCTCTCTGGCTTTCTAGCACAGATCAGAGCTGCCAAAGCTCGGCCTCCAGATGAGGGTGAACTCTTTGTTTCTCACTTCATGTCTCTGGCTGGGCTAGGAGCCTCGTTCTCCTAATCCTGGCCATCCTGGCCCTTTCTTAAATATTAGATGGGCAGTGTGGCTGAACTGACAGCCAACAACTTGCTCTCCTTCAGTGAAATAGTGAAATCGGACTTAGATGATTTCACAAGAGGTCACAGAGCTAAAAGAAAATAAATCTAGCACAATTTAGCTTTATTGATCATATGAACAATAATTACTGACCCCTTTTAAGACTGTGGGATGAGGAATATATAGGACATAAAATATTACAGTAACTTCTTCTAATCTCTACAGCACCTAAGGAAAGTTTACTGACCTCCAGAAATTAGCAAGAGTGACTAAGTGAATATTTAATTCTTAAGCTGACTTAGGAGTTTGAATAGGTATCTACCTTGTTTTGTGAACTTTCACCTCATATATGTTCATTAAAAAGTGGAAAAGAGTAGAAGATATGTTCATGGAAATGGGTAGATTTCTATCTTGGTCAGTTGGAGGAGGAGAGGTTTATTTTGCTCACACTGCAGAAGTTTTAGTTCGTTTTTGGCAAACTCAGATAGAGAATCAATACAACAGAAGGCCCTGGGTAAGGAAAGTGGCTCATGCCATGGTGCCCGGGAAGCAGAGTGTGAGGAGAGGCGCTAGGGAGGGAGCCACACCTCCCGGCTGATCACTCTCCCGGTGTCCCCGCCTCTTCCGGCCAGGACCACCTACTAACCCCACATTCAGCTACAGATTCACCCGTGTAGCACCCCGTGATCCAATCACCTTCCACATATAGAATTTGGGGGGAACATTTCAGATCTAAACCATAACTATTCCCCTTTCAGGAAAAAAGAGCATTTCTAAGAGATGTGATTGAATTTTTATTAACGTAGTATTGTGTGTTTCCTCTTGTAAAGTCAATCAAGTGGTCTTGGTTTATCTTTCAAATACAGCAACTGGAACATTACACTCACGAAGCTTAACTCCCGATGACGATGTTTTCCAACATCTTGCACATACCTATGCTTCGAGAAATCCCAACATGACGAAACCAGATCAGTGTAAAAATAAAATGAACTTCCCCGATGGAGTCACAAACGGATACTCTTGGTATCCACTCCAAGGTGGGTGCCTTCTCATTGCTTTTATCTTCCCCCCGCCTTCACCCCAAGGGGCCAGCTAGGATATATTGACCCAAAAGTTGTGGGGGAAAAAAGGTCTCTAGGTACAACCCAGCCCTCAGCCACAGCTTCATCAGCGGACATCAGCACGCAGTGGAGGGGCCAGCAGGTTGGCGAGTACTCAGACGCCGTCCTCCCTGACCACAGCTCTTCCATTCAGTCAGATATTACAGTATTTGCCTGCCGAGGGCCAGAAACCGTGCCAAGAAAGATGAACAGGACACAGATCTCACCCTCAGACTTATGCAAATAAACAATTGTGAAGCTGGGCATGGTGGTACACACCTGTAATCCCAGCACGTGGGGGTCCAAGGCAGGAAGATTGCAAGTCCATGGCCAGCCTAGACTACAGAGCAAGATCTTGTCTCAGACACAAAAACTTTAAATCATGACATAATTAGAATAAAAATGGAATTTAGAAAAGGCACAGTGTTCACCTACGAATGTAAGGCCAAAATGTAGTAGAGAGGAGCGAAGACCTTGGAGAAAAGCACTGCTTAAGTCCCAGCTACAGGGACAGCGGCCCCTAAGGTCCAGCCGGCTCTCCCACGCCGTAGCGGAGTTCACACTGGCAGACCTTGCAGCTCACAGAGGAAGCTGCGTGTCAAGCTGCTTTCCAAGCTAACTGTGTCCAGGCAGGACACAGCTTTCCATCCTTGGAGAAGGATGGCCAGGAAAGGGGAAAGGGGACATCATCCCATAGAGAATGTGAAAGGATAGAAGGAAAAATATAAACAGGAGCCTATGGGTGTCTGAAAACTCATGGTCTAGGGACTGAAAACTGTTCGAAGGACTCCAGGTGAGAGAGCTGCACAGGGACCGGTGGGCTGGAAACGAAAAGCATTCCCTCCTCGGCCCCGCAAACAGCAAGCTGCAGTCTGCACGTCTCCACAGAGGTCACTTCCACGGGCGCCTTCCCGGATTGGCATTTGGGACACACAGACTGTCAAGTATCTTACCCAAGCTGGTACTTTTGTGTCCGGCGGCTCGCTGCCAGTGCTCCAGACAATGTAAACAAGCACAGAGCGCGACCAATGGTATGCAGACAGCAGGTCCCACTGAACACCCCGACCTCCGGGCCTCTCTGCCACCCAGTAAGCCCAGCACTCCTGAGGACCCCAGCTCCGTCTTGAGAGTTAGAAGGGCCCTCCTGCCCAGCGGCAGGGCTCCCCTTCAGGTTCCCTCTGTAACTTCCAAGACAAATCCAGATGTGTGGGAACGCAGTTGCTGTTGGAAATCGTTCCCAAGTGTGTATGTGCAAGCTGTGTATCGTCAGAAAAAACGCAGGCAAAGCCAGCTGCCTCGAGCAGTTCAGAGCCAAGCGTCCTGACCACCTGACCGCCTGGCCTGACTGGCCCTGTCCAGAACTGGGGACACACTTCACACTTGGCATTTACAGCCCCATGTACTTTGCTAGGGACCCTTAATTCACACCTGTTTTGCTGTTTAAACTCTTTGTACCTCCTCGACAGCCAGCACTGAGAGCACTGTTGTTTTCTTCTCTGTCCCTTTTCCTTCCTTTGTCTTTTGGTGAACACAAGTTCAGAGAGAAATATAAAACCTACAAGGTAAGTAAAGGAAATAGTAAAGACAGAGAAATTCTTCCTGGCTAGAAGCTGGGCCTGCATAGATACTCTTCATATTTAATATCTCTGGACATAACATTTTGACTATTTTATTGAAGTTAAACTTTTTCTATTTTATCCACTTCCCAGATATTCTGATGGACTTGAATATTTTCTTGGGCAGATATCAAGTATAATAAAATTTACTTTCTTCAAAGTTCTTATGCTCCATTAAATCCAAGATGTTACTGATTGCAAAACAAGGTATCACCAGGAAAGAAAAAAAAATGTTTTAGTTAAAGACATGGATCTTTTTCAGGAATAAAATTTAGGATACACACCAATTCAGAAACATCAAACTGTCAGTCTGGGTGTGATGCTGCATTCCTGCTGCTTGGGAGGCCAAAGCAGGGCAACTGCAAGTTAAGGCCAGCCTGGACAACTTAATGAGATCTTTCTCAAAAAAAAAAAGAAAAAAAATGAATAAACTGAAAGTTTTGTCATTTTGTTTCTTCTTTATAAGAGTCCTTTTTTTGTCTGTGATTTTTACTCTGACTAACATTCTGGGCATTTAAGATTATGATACATAGTGTATTAATTATTGTTATTCTTTAATTACTTTGTTATGAAATTTTGATTTAAGAAAGGGCCAGGGATGTAGCACAGTGGTAGAATGCTCCTGGGTTTGATCCTTAGTACCACAAAAATATATTCTAAAATTTTTTTGTATATTTTATGAAATGATTACAACCCTCTGCAAACAGGGTCTCCAGAGGTAAGGGAGCATAAGCATGGGCAACCTCAGAAGCCACAGGGGTCTTTTTCTTCCTAGGGGCTTGTGGTGTCCTTTCTGGGACCCCCAGAAGCACCCTGGCATAATGGGTAGGAGCACAGAGGCTCAGGAAAGGTGGACCAGACCCGAGTGTCTGCCACCAGTGGGTGGGAATCCCTGGACATGTGCCTGAACGTCAGCGTCACCTTTCTTCCTCTGTAACAGGGTAAAAATTGTATGAATTAAATGAGATAATACACAGCACTTTTAATAGTAATAGCAACAGTGAACACTAAGTAAATGTTGGACATTATCATTCTCTTAATAACTGGTATATTTTGCTTTGTATAACTTTTTTTTATTTTTAGTACTAGGAATCAAACTCGTGACCCCATGCTTGCCAGGCAGACATTGTGTCACTGAAGTATATCCCCAGCCCATTTTTTATAAATGTTTTATGGCAATATTTTAAATGAAATCTTATTCTAGCTTATATGCATTTAAAATGTAATTTAATCGTGTCATTTTCAGGAAAATGGATGGAACTGGAGACTATCATGTTAACTGAAATAAGCCAGACTCCAAGCCAAATACCACATGTTTTCTCTCATGTAAAGGATCTACGAGAGAGAGACAGAAAGGACTTGAAAGGAGAAAGGAGACTACTAGAGAAGGGGAGGGGAGGGAGAGGAAAAAGGGAAGGAAAAGGGTGAGTTATGATCAAAGTATGTTATATGCGTGCATGAATATGCCAAAATCAAAGCTATTAGTCTATAACTAGTATAGGCTAATTTAAAGTTTTTTAAATCCATTTTGAGACAAAAATGTAAGGGCTAGGGATATATGCAGTGGCATAAGCGCTTGCCTGGCAAGTCCCAAGTTTGATTCCCAGTACCAGAAAAAAATTTAAAATACAATAAAATGTAATTTAAGGAATAAATATACTTTATAGTGCAGGATTTCAAAAAAATAAAAAAGGATCCCCCCCCACACTTAATTTTGATGTACAAGTGGACTTTAATCCACTCTGATCCAGGTACCCATGTGGGAATACTTAGCATTGCCTGCCCATGCCAGGTAATAAAATGTCAGTCCCTGCCTTTACATGCCAATGTGTCACATTCATCCTTTCCAGGTCTGGGTATGCACCTCTTGCAACTGTGTCATTCCCTCGTCCCCAGTGCATGTGATACTTGGCTCCACTCCAGTTGTAGTCCTTAACAAAAATTAAATATGCTTCTTTTTAGGTGGAATGCAAGATTACAACTACATCTGGGCTCAGTGTTTTGAAATTACACTGGAACTGTCATGCTGTAAATATCCTCGTGAGGAGAAGCTTCCATATTTTTGGAATGACAACAAAGCCTCGTTAATTGAATATATAAAACAGGTGCACCTAGGTTTGTAAAACTTTTCTTATTAAATCTTTAATATATAACATTTCATAGGATCTTTGGTTTGTGCATACACACAAGCCTTTATTAATGTGTTCCAGATACAACCTCTACATCTGAATAACCAGAACATTTAAAAATTCTATCTGAAGCTGGATGTGGTAGCATATACCTATAATCCCAGTACTCAAGAGGCTGAGGCAGGAGTATCACCTCAGAGTTCAAGGCCAACCTGGATACATGAGCCCCTATCTCAAACAAAAAAAAATCTGATCTTCTGTGTATGAGAAATATAGTGCCAAGTTGATACATAAACAAACATGATGCATGTTAACTGAATTAGGGGTATAAAAATCTGGAGTAGCCTTAATTTTACATGTTCAGTGATCTGGCAGAAGATCAGGAAAATTGGGTATTACTTTCTTTATATCATTTTCCAACTAGAAAAAAGCCAAATTTGCTTGTCACTTGGCATTCAGTATCGCAGACCCCCAAGAACACTGGAAATACTGTTTCACAGCTTTTACAGGCTAGAGGCAGTGACCTAGCACCACTAGCTTGCACCCCACTCAGCCCTCCCCTCTGGCTTGAGCCTTCCCAGCCTGTCTTCTGAAGGCTGCTCAGCCTGTATCACAGAGGCACAAACTCAATGTGGCAAAAAGTGGTAGTTCTCAGACACATGCTTGGGCTCACCTAGAGCATTTGTTGAGACAGATGCCAGGCCCCAACCCAGAGCACTTCATTTAGTAGGAGCTGAATTAATGTCTGCCTGGGTAGTGCTGCTGCTGGCCCAGGGTCTGCACTTAGAAAACCAGGGCACTAGAGAAACATTCTCCTTATGATGCTGGAATCCTGAACAGTTCAAGTTTCTTGGGCAGGTAGAGTCTCTTTGGGCGCAACATTGAAGGCTCTCCTGTATGCCAAAGTTGGCTGTCTTTCTCCACACTGGGAATTGCCATAGTAGTTATCTACTACCCTGATCCCAGTGGAGGGTGTGCAGACTTTTGGTACATGAACCTACTCAAATTTCTTGCACACTTCACACCAACACTTTTCATCTGTTACCAGTAGATGGGAAAGGAAAAGGGAGGGGAGGAGTATGGGACAGAGAGCGAAGAACAAGGATAATTAGGACCCTCCCTTGGCCGCGGATCCCCCCTAGAGATTCCCTGCCCTTTGTCTTACCCATGTCCCCAACCTCCATCCCCACCCCTAACCAGAAATACAGAGATTATTAGTGAGCATAGGTTTGTATCCACTGACTGGGATTTTCATGGATAGGTTGATTTCCTATGGGAGGATCTTACTAAGAGCTTTAAACACAGTATTGGATATTTCCCCATCCTTGCTTTGTCATCAGACTTTGTTTTGGGTCCCCTCTAGCGTCTGGCATTCCATTTTCCTCATGCTTTTCCTCACGAAGCACGTATTAACTGTTCTCTAATATTTCTATCCACATTGATCCTTTAATGCATTACTCTGCTTATGCTTTCCTGAAATTCATCCTTCATCAGTATCAACATGAGAAGGCAGCTGAACACAAAATATACTCTGTGTAACTACACTCCTATTTTCAGAATTTCAATCTAGTTGTAAACATTATTTGCCGAACTGAATGAAAGTGGGCTGTGAAGAGTCATGTTGCTAAAATATTATCAGTGAAATATTACACTGGTAAATAATATACTCACTGCAGCAACGATTTTTGTTATTAACTCAAAGGGTTTACAAGTCCGTTTACTCTGCATTATATGAAGACGATTCTCAGCTAGTATATACCAATCCTGCCCCCTGGTGGTCTAAGGAAGGCATTGTTTCTAGTGTAAAGAAACCGTATTTCTAAATACTGATGAAATATGGTTATCATCACTTAATTTAAAAAAAAAAAACTCTCCTCCTGGTGCCAAATAAGGAGCCAAAATGTTGTAGATTATGGCAACAGATGATCCCTTCTTTTCTATTGCTCTGGTTTAAGGAAATTACTGATATTTGTCAATCTATATTTTACTAGCTAGGATGCTCCTAATGTCTCTAGGTCGCTGAACTATTTTGTCTGGGAAAGCCTTCTGCTTTTTTTTCCCCTCTGTGGGGAATCAGACCAAGGCCTTGAACATGTAAGGGTCTTCTTGTATACAAGAAGTCCGGCCATGAAGACAGGAGCCTGGGTAGGTCTCAGGCTATTTTGTCATCTGGCCTGTTTGCAACATTGAACAGGCACTGGTCTGGACCTCAGCTTGGTCAACGAAGTGGGATGAATAGTATCAGTTAAATGGTATCAGTCCTACTTCACCGCAGTCTTTTCTGAGGCCCCGGGGGTTATGCTTTCAATTAGAAATCACTGCATATCTATCCAAACTCAGGCTCTGTGGTACTGTGTCATGCGTACAGGATTTACTAAGCATGTGACAGAATAAGGGTGTCTGTGGACATTAGAGTTCTAGCCTAGAATGCCCTGTGGGTCACCCTCTGCAGACAAAAAGGGAAACAAGATAGTGTTATCTGCTTCTGTCCTGTCTCCCCTGGACTCTTCAAGGCAGATCCAGTGGTCTGGTGAACGGCTCACACTTCCCACATACTGAAGCAACCTGGCCCAAGGAAACGGTACAGGCTGGGTTCCAGAGGCCTGTGAACAGGATGTGGATCTCGTACCAGATCCAAAATAAGGGGAACTATGGTGCCAGGGGTCAAATGGAGGCCTGGACATGAGCAGCAGTCTCCCAAGTACTGTCTCATTGCTAACTTGCAGCCAAGATTTCTTACCAGCAGGGACTCCTCATTCCCAAAGCTCCTAAGAGCTGACCCTTCCTCTGCACATCTCCAGACATGGCCAGACTGTAAGGTTATATGTCTGTTCCTTTACTATCTGAACTTTTTCAAAATATTTTTGTTCCCCTAGTAACAGCTTTTTCAGAGCTATTGATCTTTTCAGCATGCCAAGTAGTAAGAGTAAATATAAGTGGAACACTGGGGAGAAAAAACGGCAAAAGAAGGACCGGTTATGGGAAAATGGAGGTTTACATAGTTGACCTGTATTGAGAAAGTAAGAAGGAAATACAGCATTTAGTAATTTGTAATTGGGGAGAAGAGTGAAGATTAAACAACTGAACAGGAAGAAAAGTAAAAAGTAACTTTGGTTAGAAGTTTGCTTAATGATTAAGCCAAAGATTTTGTTGGTAAATATCAAAACCTTCATTTTTTTTTCATTTGAATTTTTTCTGCAGAAAACTAAATGTGCCTCATTTTTCTGCCTAATAAGTATTGGTTATGTGTAACTATGTAGGGATAGTTCAAGGGTATCTTATTGTGGCTTCTATGGCTTGTCACTTACGTCACAAAGCTTAGACAGCTTCCCCTTCAGTTACCCTGATTAGTTATTGGAGTGAACAAACTGGGCTGAGAAATTTAGGAATTAAAATGAGAAGCATGGTAGGGTGTAGCTCACTGGTAGAGCAGTTGCCTAGAATGTGTAAGGTCTGGATTTGGTCTCCAGTACCACAAAAACATGTCTACTCATGAAACCCTGAAAGGGAGAGAGGTGATCAATTCAGTGTGGGCTGTTATTGTGGGCTTACTCTTCTTAACTACAAAATGTTTTGTTGTTGCAATATGGGGGGGGGGTGTTAGAGACCAAATCCAAGAGCTAATGCATTCTGGGCAAGCACTCTACCACTGAGGTGCAACTTCGGTCCTGTCAAATTGTGATAACAACATTGTCTACCTTATAGTTAATGTGAGGATTCAGTGATAAAATGCACATCAAACACTTAGCAACGAGTCTAATTAATGCTCAATAAGTGTTAGTTGCTGTTGTTAGTAATAATGTGACCCCCGTCAAGGAATTGCATGTTTCAGACAACCTTGTGTTTGTAAGTTTTCTTCTCAGAATTTGCTTGATCATAAAACAAAGTTTTTGACTCCCTTATGTACTTAAATATCTTATAAATATTAACATTATTTTTATTTTTAAGAGAATAAAACAATAAAGCCAATCAAAACAAAACAGTGAACGTAATACAGGACTTCAAAACAAGATAATAGGAAATCAGTAATGGCTACCATAATATATCTAGTTATCTTCAAAATACCTGCCCATGCCATCAGATTCAATAAAATCAAACCAAATAGAATAAAACCAATCAAAACAAAGTAATGAAAATGATACAGGACTTTAAAACAAGATAATAAAGAACTACCAATGGCTACCACCTCCCCTTTTTAGATGTTTCCTCCCCCTTTACTTTCACAGTATCTGTTGTACATTTTGGATCCCACTAACTCCTCCAGTTTTTACACTAGGGAGACAACATGATGTTCATCCATGTGAGTCCAAACCATTTCACCAAGAGCATGATCATAAGTGTGTCCATTTACCTACAAGAGCCTTGTAATTATCCTTCTTTATAGCTGGGTAGCTTTCCGTCATATAAAAATGCTGTATCTTACTTATCCATTCTGTGGTTGATGGGCAAGCTACCCCTGCTTATTTCTGGTTCCCTATTGTATGGAGCATTGTTTTTTCTCCTTTGACTTTCAGTCTATGAATTTCCCTCTGAGTTAATGTGTTTCTTGTATACGGCATATTCATGGATCTTGTTTCTTGATCCAGTGTGCTTGTGTCTCTTTTACTGGTGAACTGAGGCCATCTGCATTGATGGTTATGGCCAACACGCCCTGGTTAATCTCTTCCATGCTTTTCTCCTGCCATCGGCTTCCTACTTTTCCCCTCCATTCAACTGTCTGCCCCACTCGGTGATCTCTCTCTGCTGCTATTCCTGGAACTGTGGTCATTTGTATCTCTCTCTAGAATATACTTCATTACTCTGTGTAGGGTTGGTTTGGTAGTCATGAATTCCTTCCATTGTTTTTGTCATGGAAGAATCCTATTTCTCCATTAATTTTGAAAGATAGTTTTTTAAGGGTACATCAATCTAGGTTGGAAGTTGTTTTCTTTCAGGACTTGAAATACTCCACTCCAGGCTCTTGAACAGACAATTTGTGTTGAGATGTCTGTAATTCTGATAGATTTTCCTTTATAGGTGATCTGTTTCTCTTCTCTATCAGCCTTTAGCATTCTGTTCTTATGCTGAATTTCAGGGATCTTGATTACCATTGTCTGAGTGTAAATTTATTTGGGTTATGGCTAGTTGGAGCTCTGTACGTCTCACTTCTCTGTATGTCAGGTCCTTTTCCCAGGCTTGGGAAGTTCTCTGCTATTACTTCTGTAAACAGTCTCTTTACGTTATTTGTGTTGACTTCTGCTTTTTTGCTGACACCTATCACTCTTAAATAATTTTTGTGTCATCTTGCAGTCATTGAATTGCTATTTCCTGGTTCCTTGTTATGTTTAAGAGATCTTTCCTTTCACAATCGCTAGCTGCCATCCTGTCTTTAAGGTCTGAAAGTCTATCTTCAGTTTCAAGCTGTTTTGCCAGCTTTCTGTAGAGTTTTTAATTTCCTAGATATCTCTTTGAGTCTGTTTCATGCCTTCCAATTCTTCTCTATATTGTTCATTCAAGGTTTCCCTCATTCTCATTCCTCTTTTCTTTAACTGTGTCTTTTTTTAGATACACTAAGAAAATATGTTATTTCTTTTACCTGAGATATTATTTCTGGGCTGATTTCTTTCACAGCCTTATGAAGTAGTTTCTTTATTTCAGCTGCCATCATCCCAGAAATTTCAGGTGTGCAACTTCCACTCTCTTCCACGTCCATGTCTCCTGGACTTGTTCTATTTAGGCTGGAGGCCAGAGATTGCCTTTTGCTCCTTCATCTTGATGTTTTCCTTGGTTTCTTTCAGATGAGCAGTTTCTGGGGTCCCAGGCACTTCCCCTGTTGGCTACCCATTTACAGGGCAGGGAGATGGGTCAGGCACCTGGCTTTCTCCTGGCCCAGGTTCCTGGGGAGGTGGTAGAGTGCAGGGCAGGCTTCTCCAGGCCCACATGGCTTCTCCAAGGCATGGCTGGCTGGCTCTTCTGGCCCACACTGGCCACAGGTCCCTGAAGACAATGGCAGCCAGCAGGCTTGTAGTGGTGTGGCTGGCTGCTGCTTCTCCAGGTCCACGCTGCTTCCCCAAGGGAGATTACCGATGGCTTCTTCTCCACACCCATCCTGGTTACCTGTGGGAGAGTCCTATGACAGTCAGCCCATTGACATTGTTTTTGTTTAGGATTACAGAATCCACTAATAGTATGTTGCAGTACCCTTTGGTGACTGAATAAACAATTTGGAAATTATAGAAATGGATCTTAGGTTGTGATCTCCGTTCTCTTATTTTGATATGTTATAAATGCAATATTCAAAAACCAGCAAATATGAGCCATCAAATTAGTAGCTTAACTAATTTACAGTCAACAAAAATACTCTTTTTCTCTAAGACTTTCTAACTTAAAATAGCTAATAACAATGGGCCATACTGTTGGGCATGGTGGTACATGCCTAGAACCCCAGCCTTCAGGAGGCGGAGGCAAGATCACTGTGAGTTTGAGGTCAGCCTGGACTACACAATGAGATCTTGTCTGGGGAGGGGGCATGCTTTTCTAAAACAATGACAGGAAATTTTCACGTGCCACAAATTGTGGAGTTGGTTTTCTTTGGGGGGGGGGGGGTCTTTGGTTTTTTTGTTTTTTGTACCAGGAATCAAACTCATGACCTGCTTGTCAGGCAGGCGCCTTGCTGCTGAAATATATCCCCGGCCCCACTAAATGTACTTTTTATACTCAGTTTTCTTTCTGTGTCACAGGTATAAAGGGTCAAGTTTTTGATCAGAATAAAAATCCATTACCCAATGTAATTGTGGAAGTCCAAGACAGAAAACATATCTGCCCATTTAGAACCAACAAACATGGAGAATACTACCTACTTCTCCTGCCTGGAACCTATGAAATAAATGTAAGTATGAACTACAAATTGTTGTTTAAAATATTACTGTACTCACTATACTCACCCAAGAGAACCTAAAGTGAAAAATACCCAAAAGGAGATATACTGGGGCAAAAGAAAAGAATGTCAGAGTTGCAACTGGTAGCAGAGTAAAATGAATAGGACTATGACAGCAGCAAAACAGAAAAAGAAAAACACTAAACAAAAAGATGCATTTTTTCCTCACTGGAAATCAATTTTTAATATAAACTAAATCTTATTTTTGTGATAGCTTTCATAGTGGAAATCCAAATTTACTAAGAATAGAGTGTGCTAAGATGACTGTCACCGAGAAGGGTCGAGGCAGCCAAGGAAAGCCTGTGTTTTAAGGAAAGGGGTGGGAGACGCTGAAAATCAGTAAAGAGGTGATGGGAACCCAAAATAGCATGGAAAGTTGAAAACAACAAAGCAGTCTTCAACTTCAGCCCTGGTTCCCAGTCAAGGAAGGGAGGTAACGGGACCAACATGAGCTAATCAGGAAAGTGCCAGCAACAGACTAGCAGTCCTAACTGTTGGAAAATTCCAGTCTTTACAAGATCCAGTTTGGGGAACTTGGTGGTGTAAAAGGGACTCCTCTGTCCAAAGAAGATAGACTTTGGACCTTTCACAAACTCTAAAACTCCAGCTACCACCACAGCCACTCCTACACGCCTTCTTGGTTTAGGGGCCAGTGGCTAAACTCCTGACAATGTCAGAAGCCTTGTGCTGCTGGTGCACACTTCACTGGGCAGGAGTCCTGCAGCTTCAGGATCAATTGCTGCCCTGCCATAGCCACCAGACTGAGTCCTATCTACCTTCGTTCCACCCACTTTTGTCCCATGAGATCTATGGTAGGTCTCCCAAGCCCACAACCTTGGAACTGTGGCCACAGTTGCTAAGTCCTACTTCAGTCACACCTGTCCATCTGAGGCTGGGAAAGCTCCCAGACAAATAAAAAACTCCAGGAATGCAAGGCCCCAACCCCTGATGACAGCAGTGATCACGAAGTAGGCTCTAGGCAAAGTCTCCTACCTAGCCCATTCCTTGGGACTACTATAGGTGCAAAAAGCCTCGGCTTCATATAAGCTTGTTCCTGGGATTCAGAGGAAATGGCCATTTATGTTCTTCAGCTCCAGAACTGTAACTACTAGTGCCATAATCTTGTCCCTACCACAGCTGCATGATCTAGTGACATCCCCACCCATGCCCCACAGCTCCAAGACCACAGGTACCAAAGCCACTGGACTATGTATGCTCAACCTAAGAAACCTACATAGATCTCTCCCACAGCCTATACCTCCTAGAACATTCATATGGCACCAAAAGGCCACGTATTACCTGCACACTCTCCAGACGTTCCTAAGGAACACCTTCTCTACAATCCACAGAACTGGTGCCAAAAACCCTAGTCCACTTCAAATTGTCCCTTGGAACCAGGGAAAGGTATGCTCCAGGTCCCAGAGCTCCACAGAAACATTTAACAGCACCACAAGCTCCCATCAACATAAGAACACAAGAAATACAAAAGGAAATACAACTGTTCTCCAGAAAGGTCATAATTTGAAGAAAGTCTGCAAGATGCATGAAAAAGAATTGAAATAGTGATCCTAATAAAATTCAGTGAGATACAAGACAGTACAGATCATACCAAAAAAATGAGAACAACAATTCACATTATCAATGAGAAATTCTCTGCAGGGATTCAATTTCTAAGAAAATAACAATTCTACACTCATATATTTCAAAGTACTTGGTATCCAGATAACTGATCTCCTGGGAATTCAACAACTGAGGTTTGGAGGCCAAAGTTCAAAAGGTAACTGAACTCAGGGGGCTGTATTTTGACTGTAGCCCTCATTGGCCAATAAAGACCCAGGACAAGAGGGAACCTTTTTTTACAAAATCCTAAATTTTGGTGAGTCCCCTCAATCTCCAGAACAGGGAGAAAACCTATGAAACATATGGGCCACCGTTAAGAAAACAAATATTTGCAATTGAGGAATTCCAAAAGGTGACGAAAAAGGGAAAGGCACTGAAAACATACTACACAAAATAATAGTTGAAAAATTCCCAAATCCTGAAAGACATATGGACATGTAAATATTAGAAGATCAAAGCAACTCAACTAGATGCAACAAAACCAAACCTTTTGCCAAGACACAGTCAAAATGACAAATATATAACACAAAGAAAGAATTGTGAACAGCAAAAGAAAAGCATCGAATCACATTAAAAGGAATATTCAGTAGACCTGCAGCCAATTTCTGACCAGAATCCTTACAAGCCAGAAACAAATAGTAGAATATATTTAAAATATTGAAGAAAAAAGAAAGAAAAACCTTGCTAACTATGAATACTCTATCCAGAAAAATTATCCTTGAAATATGAAAGAAAAATAAAATCTTTTCCAGATAATTAAAAATTGAGAGAATACATTATTACCACCAGACCAGCCTAACAAGAAATACTTAATCCTACCCTAAAAAGGATGACAACTACCATAATGAAAACACTTTAATATACCAAATTCCTGGAAAAACAGATATTGAAATGAGAAAAGGTCAAATTTTAACATAACAGAAAACTATAAATCACAAAAATAGAGATTGAAAGAAAAAAATACACAAAACAAGCAGAATACAGTTAACAAAATGATAGGAGCAAGTTTATATATATAAATGGATGAAATTCATCAATCAAAAGAGAGATTTGATTTTTTTTAAAAAGCAAGATTCACTATATTCTGTCTACAAGAAACTCACTTCACTGATAAAGGAACACAGAGACTGTGAGGGGTTTGGAAAAGATACATCACATAAATGGAAACCAAAAGCAAGAAGAAATAACTATACTCAGGTAAAGCAAATTTTAAATTAAGAATTGTAAAAAGAGACAATATCATTATACATTGATATTAGGATGAATTCAAGAAGAAGATACAATAGTTCTAGATATATATGCACCCACCATGGTGGGACCACCCAAACATATAACGAAAACACTAGGTCTGAAGGGAGAAATTGACTCTTGATAAAGTAACAGTGAAAGGCTTCAATATCCTACTTTACCCAGATCAGACATAAAATCAATAAAGAAATTGTGTTATATCATAATTTATAGCAAACAGACCTAACATTTTATTCAACAGCAGCAAAATGCCCATTCTTTTCATCAGGATGTGGACCATTTCTATATGATACATCATGTCAGGCCACAAATCAAAGTCACAGTAATTTTTTTTAGGTCCCAGTAAATTTTTTAAAAAGTGAAATCATACCATGGATCTTGTAAGATCATAACAGTTTAAAACTTCAAATCAACAAGAAAATGCAAAGTATACAAGCATACAGAAATTTGATAACATGCTCCTAAATAACCAATGAGTAACTGAAAAGTTAAAAAGGAAAATAAAAAAATTGATAATTGATAAACTGAAAATGATAGCAAGATACTAAAACCTGTGGGATACAGCAAAAGCAGTATGGAGAGGGAAGTTTATGGCAATAAAGGCACACATTTAAAATGAAATGGATCTCAAAAATATACCTCAAAGACAGGCAGAACAAACTAAATCTCAAAATTAGTAGAAGGAAGAAATCAAGATCAGAGCATAAATAAATGAAATCTATGGCTAGGAATGTTGCCTAGAAAAAACAAGGCCTAGATTTGAAACCTAATTTTGAAACATACTACAAAGCTATAGTAATTAAAACAGCATGATACTGGCACTAAAAACACATAGACCAATGGAACAGAACAGTGAAGTCAGAAATTAATCCATGTTCATATAGCCAACTGATTTTTGACAGAAGCACAAGAACATACAGTGGAGAAAAAAACAGTCTCTTCAATAAATGGGTACTCATATACAGAAAAATGAAACTGGATCCTCTCCTCTCATTGTACCCAAACATTAACTCATAATGGGTCAAAGATCTAAATGTTAAGCCTGAAATTATGAAATTAGTACAAGAAATCACAGAAGAAACACTTCAAGACAGTGATGTGATAATGAATTTGTAGATGGAACTTTAAAAGCAAGGCAACAAAAGTTAAATTTAGAGATATAGGATTATATCAAATTAAGAAGCTTTTGTACCACAAAGGAATTCATCAAAGTCAATGTACAGAATGGAAGAAAATATATGCAAACTATTCATCTGAAAGGGATGGACATCCAGAATATGTATGGAACTAAAAACGCTGAACACAAACACACACAGCCAGTATAAAAATGTGCTAAAGCGGGCATGTTAGCACATCCCTAATTCCAGCACTTAGAAGCTGAGACACAATGAGGTCACAATGAGCTAAAGGCCAGCCTGAACTATACAGCAAGGCCCTGTCTCTAAAACAATTAAAATATGCTAAAGAACCAAACAACCATTTCTCAGAAGACAACATACAAACAGCCAACAAGTGTTGGGAGCTGCTGAAGCTGGACACTGACCACATGTGCGAAGCTGGGCATGGTCATCCCCCCCAAAAAAGAGCTCCGAGGCAAGCCACATTAAAAAACTGCTTCAGCCCAAAAAACACCTAGCCCCAGACAATCCAAACAGTGGGTTGCTAGGACAACAGGGCTGATGTGGCATTAAGCTGCTAAAAGGTATAAATAAACGCCCCTGCAGTGAGGGGGCAGTTCCTTTCCTCCACGTGGAGAGTAAGGCCACCTCCTGACCCCAGCTTTGTCCCGTTTTTGTTTTCTCATCCTCCTTGCAGTCCTTAACCCAAGGAACCTCAAGGGGTGCACGGGTTGGGGCAAACAAGTACCTGAAAAACAGTGCTCTCTAATCACCAGAGAAATGCAAATCAAGACCACAATGTGATATCATCTCACCCCAGGCAGAAGGGCCATTATTAAAAAGACTAAGCATTACAAATGCTGGTAAGGATGCAGAGAAAAGGAAACTCTTATACACTCTCAGTGGGAATGTAATAGCACAGCCATTATGGAAGACAGTATGGAGAGTCCTTAAAACACTAAAAATAAAACTACTAGATGAAATCTAGCAATTCCACTACTGTACATATACCCAAAGAAGCTGTCATACAAAAAAGATGTTTGTATCCCTCTATTTATTGTTGCACTATTCACAATAGCTGAAATATAGAATCAATTCAGTTACACTTCAGTAAATGACTGATAAAAAATGTGGCAAATATTATGGTATATATATATGTGGGATATGGGAGTGTGTGTGTGTGTGTGTGTGTGTGTGTGTGTGTGTGTGTTATAATGGAATATTATTTGCTCATGAAAAATAAAATCCTGTCATTTGAAGTAACAGTGGAACCAGAGGTCATTATGTTAGTTGAATTAAGTCAGACAGAAAGACAAAACCACAGGTTCTCACATCTTGTAGAAAAATGTAATGGAATAGTGGTCACTAGAAACCAGGAAGGGCAGGAGGCTGGTGACTAGAAAAAAAATTCAATAAGGGGTACCAAAATAGAGCAGCAAAATAATTTCTAGTTTTTCATTAGGACAATAGGGTATCTATAGATTAGAACAATCTGCAGTTTATTTCAAATGACTAGAGAAGGAGAGTGCAAAATCCTTAGCATATGAAAATTAATTTGAAGAGAAAAAAAATGTTCATTACCCTGATCTGCTTAGTATACACTGCATACATGTACTGTACTACAATAACATGTCCCATAAATATGTACAAATATGTTTTAGTTAAAAAAAATAACCAGTATAACAGGAGTAATTCCAAGCTTCACAGACTACCCTTTAGCACCCATTGTATCAAATTTCTGCCATTAAAAAAAGATCGGGAGCTGGCGGTGTTGGTCAGTAATGGCGTTCTTGCCTAGTATGCACAGAACTTTCCGTTCAGTCCCCAGTACTCACAGGGTAGGAGGGAAGCTTTGAGACAAATTCCTTAGAATTCATGACAAATGACATATGATCTGTATATTTTACCAAGAACAAATGGTACACATATTTGCAATCCTATTACCAATTTATGTAAGCAAAATTTCAGTTTTTCATTCTATGAAGAGCACGTTTCTGAGTCATTTCTTCCTAGGAAAAGAGGCATCAGCCTGAGTAGGTTTATGTGAATGAAGTAAGCACCTCATGTGGCTGGCCACCTTGTTCTTCTTCTTTGACGTAACATTCTTTAAGAAATGCAGGATTCTTCAGGTTTGTGTCTTCATTTTTTGGGTTTTTGTGTTTGTTTTGGTATGGAGTCATTGTTTACAGACCTGCTTCTGGGGGAAGGCTGTCATCTCTCCTACAGGTATTGCTCTAAGACAAGACTGGAGTAAATTCTGAAGCTGAAACAAATGGCTAATACTAATTAGTAATTATGTAAATATTACTCCCCACTCCTTTCGCTCTCCACCATCTATAATGGAGGTCACTTCTAAATTAGTTAGCACTCATCTTATTTTTCCTGGTCATTTCTTCCACCAAAAAAGCAAACCTGGGCAAAGATTCGTATTCATATGAACTGAATCAGGTAAAATCAAATCTTTTTAAAGCAATCGATTTGTACCTTCAGGTCAGCTGCAAGGAAAATGACAATAAATTTGGAAAAGAAATCTACTTTAAAAATACTTGATATTGCCGGGTGTGGTGGCTCACACCTGTAATCCCAGCACTTGGAGGCTGAGGCAGGAGGATTGTTTGTGAGTTTGAGACCAGCCTGGGCTACAAAGTGAGCTCAAGGAAGCCTGAATTGCATAGCAAGACCCTGGCTCAAAAAGAAAAATAAAAAAAATTGATATCCAGTAAAGACATTAACTACAAACTTGTAATAAAGAAAAATAATTCTTGGGGCCAGGGAGATAGCTCAGTAGCACCTGTCTGGAAAGTGCAAGATCCTGAGTTCAATTCCTGGTACCAATAAAAAAGAAAAGAAAAACAACTCTTTACTTTTGTGATCCATGAAAATGATAGTGGCAGCCAGGTGTAGTGACGTACGTACACCTATAACCCCCTTCATGAGGCTGAAGCAGGAGGACTACTGTGAGTTCAAGGCCAGCCTGGGCTACATAGTGAGTTCAAGGCTGGCCTGAACTACATAGCAAGACCCTGTCTCAAAAAAAAGGTGGGGGCTAGGTATAGAGCTCAGTGGCATAAGTGCCTACTTGGTAAGCACAAGGTTGTGATTTCAGTTTCTGGTACCAAAAACAAACAAACAAACAAACCAAACACAAAAAAGGGGGTGGGGAGGAAAAAGAAAATGATGGTGGCAGAATCAGTCTAGTACTTTCTTCTTGCTCCTGACTTACATCAGCAGATCAGGTGCCTGTTTCTGTCTTTATTTCACTTTGCAATTCTTGGTAATAGCATTAGCAGCTGTCAACAGGCACTAGATGACATGCCGCAGAGGCCTGGCAGACTGTTACACGCACTGCACAAAGGCTGCATTTTAGTGGCGGGTGCCAGTGTTTTCGGTGTTGGCACCAGCAAACGTCTGAGATCACTCACACAATTGTTTCTTGTTTCTTCTCAGGTTACAGTCCCTGGACATGAGCCGTACCTCACGAAGGTGGTTATTCCAGAGAAATCCCAACACTTCAGTGCTCTTAAAAAGAACTTTGTACTTCCATTTCAAGGACAGTTGGATTCTCTTTTAGTATCAGATTCATCATGCCCGACCATTCCTCTATACAAAATGTTACCAAGCCACTCAGCTGCAACAAAGCCTAGTTTGTTCTTATTTTTACTGACTCTTTTGCACATATTTTTCAAATAAATTATGAAACTCAACTCTCATCACCACTTGGCATCAGGGAATACTCACTCCAGGTTACTGCAACTCTAGCAGCCTTGTGGGACCTTGATTGGATTAGAAGAGTGGATGTTTCTAAATCCTGCAAGAAGCAATATGTGCTGATAATGGAAGGAACTGATTGTCTTGATGATGAATGGAATATACCTATCAAGCACTGCCTATTTACATGGAAAGTAACCCTAAAGTAGTCCTAGAAATTTGTAAGAAGTTAAACCTGAAAAGCAAAACAGAAGTTCCTGCAAGAAAAAAAGAAAATAAGGAGTTAAATCAGCCCTGGTGATGTTTGCCTATCATGCCAGCTGCTTGGGAGACCAAAGCAGGAGGATCACAAGTTCAAGTCCAACCTGGGCAACTTAGCAAGACCCTGTCTCAAAATTAAAAAAAAAAAGAATTGTGAGACTCTAGCTTCTGGGGTCCAATCCCCAGTACTCCCTCAAAAAAGCTAATTTTGTGTACAAGGATCCAAATCAGTATAAGTAACAAAGATGAAAATTTATTGATCACCTACTATGTACAAAATCTTGCCATGACTGCTGTCTGCAAAGAAATAGTGCTGTATATAATTAGTTTTCCAGAAAGAAACAAATGATCATAGGACTTAAGAACAGTTTTATTAATGTTATAAGAAAATATGAGAGAAAACAGGCAAACAGGTCTCAGTTGTCCAAGAAAACATGGCCCTGATGGGACAGTAAGGTTTTGTCCCATCAGCACCAACAGTTTTGTCAGCACCAACAGTTAATTAGGAAAGTTGTCTGTCTCTGTCTCTCCCCGCCCCTTTCTCTCCCCCTCCTCCCCTCTCCTCTCCTCTCCCATTCTCTCTTTCTCTCTCTCCCTCTCTCCCCAAAGTCCTTGCTTTACTGCAGTTGGACGCTACTATCCTGTATGATAAGGACCCACAGCCTACTAGGAAGCAACTCTAGCTTCTTGCCTGAGCCTCAGATTCATGTCCCACTGCCCCCCTAGATATACCTTGCTGGGTGTGACCCATAAGTACTTCACACTCATCACGGTGCAAATGAGCTTGATTTTCCCTCAAGAGAGCTGCTTTTAGTGTTGTATTCTCTATCTCAGTTACTGGAACCACCACGCTAGAAATCTCAGAATCACCCGCCATACTTCCTCATCCTTCTTGATCACATGCTCAGCCACTAAAGATTAGTTATAAACATCAGTTCTACCCTGACCTCTCCATGACGATTAGCGCTGTAGTTTAGGCCCTCTGATTTCACCTGCACCACAACACTTTAACTGTTCTCTTGCTCACAGCCACCTCCACCCTCCACACAGCCTTGGTGGACACTTAAAAGGCAACAACCAATTGCTTCTATTTTCTGTTACCTAAACACAGGACTTGCTTTTTATGTTCCTGGAATGCCATTCTTGTTCACTAATTTTTTTTTCCACCCTTACATTAAAACTCCGAGTATCAACCCTAGCAAGAAGCCTTTACCAACCATCATCCCATTTACCGCCACTCCACTTCCCCCCATCGAAGCCCTTTCTCTTTTCTCCTCAGGATAAACCGGTTCTCTCTCTTAGTGGATTTACAACACTGTAATAACTTGCCTACTTCACGTGTGCCTCTCCAGGAAGTGTGAGCTCTTTGAGGCCAGGATCTACTTGTTTGAAAAATTCATTTTTATGTCCTCAGAGTCTAACACAAAGCAGGGGTTCAGAGGACAATCTGCTACTCCTAGACCTTTTCAGAAACTGTAGGGCTCGGAGTCTTTTTATGGACGTAGGTCTTATGTTTTGGCGATCTGCTACTCACTAATATCACCGACAGAAGTTGTTTCCATATATCAAGGAAAGTTCCAAATGCTGCGCTTTTGCTTCCATTTGTCGTAAGGTTTGTAGGAGTGTTACCCAGAAATACATGCCTTTTTATCAGGAAAAAACTATTTTACCATCAGTACTCATTTGAAGCAAGCAACCATTCTCTACTGTGAAAGCTGGCCAACCTAAGAGACTGTGTGTAAGAATGAAAGAGAGGGGAAGCACCAAAGGGCCGTTCTTGCAGCCACATCCCTGAGTGCTGCACATCATTATGAAAAGTGAGTTGGCTTGATTCTTATTTTGAGCTGTCTCAGAAAATGAAACCACACTGCTCTTGGCACATGGTGACAGCTTGAGAACCCACAACCGACAGAGGAGATATATTGATTTTTAGGTACTATGTCTGTGCCAAACTTATTCTACATGCACAAATCATACATGTTGTTATCAATAGTATTTGTAGTTTTTACTTTTAAAATATGGTAATATCTTGAATCTTTTGACCATTTTAAATAAGCAGTAATTATAGAATTGAAAGTACATGTTAATATAATAATGCAGAAAATTATGTTGGTATAGTAAATATGAAAGTGTGTGAGACTAACCTTGATTTGCCACCAAGCCCTAAACCAGTGATGGCCAACCTTTAGCGCTTTCAGTGGTAACCAGCAGCGTGCTGCAGAACACACGCTATAGGTTCATCAGCACTGCCCTGAACAATTTTTCTATTGGGCATTCGGGTTCTAACTTTTCTAAGCCAGCAATTTTTAAAGGTACATGAACTGAAATTTGAATTGTTTCATGAGTTTAATGTAAATGTGTTACTGAAACATGTTTTTAAAATCAAAAAACTAGGGATGGGGCTTTAGCTCAGTGATGTAATCGCATGTCTGGCAAGCATGAGGTGGTGAGTTTGATCCCCGATACCAAAACAAAAGTTTTAAAAAATCAGAAAATTACATCAAAAGAAAATTTAAAATCATTTAAAGGTAAACAAGGCTGGAGGTATGGCTTAGTGGCAGGCAGAACATATGCTTAACATCTGTGAAGCCCTAGGTGTAATCTCCAGCACATTCACACATGAGTGCACACACACACAAGACGAAACATGTAAATTCTGTGGTCAAAGTAAGTCCCAAACCTCCCTGCCTACCATCTTTCCCACTCTTCTCCACCCTCTTAGACTGACAGTTATACTCCTGAGGCTCTAAATTGAAGTACAATGCCACCCCAGTTCACAAACTTAGTTTTCACAATTTGGGAAAAGATGGCCATGTTTGTGTGTGTGGGAAGGAGGCTGTGGTCATGTTTGTCACCTGCTGTAGAGTTTGCAAACAAAAACAAAACTTTGCTGAACACTTTTGTTTGTGAACCAAATTGTTCTGAATCAACCGAGCACCACTGTGTAATCCTTTTTACAGAGGAACCAGCATTATAAAGGTTTTCAAGATTAAGAAAAGAAAGCAGGAGTGATAATTAGATGACAGGAAATCTGGGTTCAAATCCACTACACATTTAGTTTCCTAATCTGTAAAATGAAGGACACCCTCCCCCCCAATCAGAAACAGTAAAAGAGACCACTTTTTGGCTCTTTTTCAGGTGAAGGAATGATAATTAATATTCAGATTAATATTTTGAAAATGACACAGTACACCTAATTGAAGGCCAATTCTGCTTCAGTTACAAACAGAATTGACCTAAAAACAAATTTTGGTTAGCAAGACCAAATATTAATACTTAAGGAAGCTTTCATGAAGTGCCAACTTGCCTGCGTACTTACTCAAATTACAAGCAATGCTAACCTGAATTAAAACATGTGAAGTATTTTAGAGAAATGTTAAGTCTCTACAAACAAGTGTCAGTGTTTATTTTGGTGCTTATCACATTCAGAGAAGCTGCTAGTTTTATCAGAAATGTTTAAAAGCCTCCTCAATATTTCTGAAAGTCTAGGAAATCAATGTTGTGTTTTGTTCCAGAAGCAAATTTGCATTTGTAATGTTTCTAAAAATGATGTAAGTTACATTTATGTATAGAAAGTATACATATCTGATGCTGGATTCAAAATATATTCTGGGGAATCCAGAAAAATAGGAATGGCATTTTGTAGGCTAAGTTATTTATTGAGAAGTTTCTTATTTTATATAGTAATAATATGGTTGGTGTTTATTTTATGGCAGATCACTTATATCTTCCTCCTGACTTCAGGAAAGAAAAATAATGATGGCCAGATTGGGTAAAGAGTTCTTAATATTTAAACTAGAAGTTTATTACAGACTTTGTATCACTGATATTGTATTATTCATAAACCACTTTATCATTTTAGTTTTGAACTATTCTAACAACCATTTAGAGGTCACACAGCTGATTTCACAAGTTTTTTCATCGACTTTTATATTATAATTAAGAACTTACTAAAATGACCTGCCTTAAGACTAAAGTTTACTGGGGAGGAGCTATGACTACCTCTGAGCTTAGTAAATCTAGAACTGTTGATTATCAATAAAAAATATTCATTTAGTGAATGTTGTTTCTTTCCATTACCTTGAAAACAATTTTTTGTGTGAATGTAACGAAGTCTATATAATAGAGAAAACTACCACCAAATAAATCCTAGGGAAGACCAAATTTAATATTTTGAGCCAAGGATATTACAAAAACTCATCAAAGGTCTAACCAGTACTTCAGAACACTTTAAATGTTATTTATATTATATATTCCAAATTAACCTGTACCATGAGATTGGGTATTCCATGGACAAGGTGATGCATGAAGTGTGCTTTCTGATCAAAAATAATGGAAGCTGATGATACAGTTTGAGGTAGAATACTTGCCTAGTATATGCAAGGCCTGGGTTCAATTCCCAGCATGACCAGGGAACAAAAGAGAAAAATTTACAATTCATATTAATAAAGTAAACGTTCTGAGAATTACATACTAAGAAAATATATTTCTCACAAGGATACTTAGCTATGGGCCCATTTTCTTAAATAATTTAGCCTACTATTATCTGTTGAATTAATATTCCTACCTTTCCAAACACATTTTGGAAAATTTTGTTCAATGTAACAAATTTTACCAATTTCTAAGTGCCTGAGAATGGTTGCAAACAGAATTTGCCTCCAAAAGAAATTGGAAAATTTAACAACCATTAACCTACCTCATCAAGGCAAATCTAGCATGTTAATATAAACTTTCTAGTCATAGGATAGAGGTCAAAATCAAGTGCACATAAACTTGAACAACAGTGTAGTTTCTACTGAGACATGGCTGAGGAGAAAATGGCTAAACTGAATTTCTAAAAAGATAAACATCTACATGCCTATAAGTCCAGTTAAGGGTGAGCTGAGGTAGAGGTACTTCAGGTTAGAGGCCAACCTATGCAACACAGTGCATCCCTGTCTGGAAACAGATAAAATTCACATTTTGATAATCACAAAGTCTTACTTATTGGGGGAAAAAATGTGCAGCTGAAATGGAAAACATCCATTTCAAATCTGCCTTCCCCAAAGGCAAGATACAATTTTAGAATGAACTAAAAATTTAAAACATTAGACATGAGAGGAAAAGTAAAAGCTGTCCTAGTTATTTTCTCATTGCTAAGACAAAATACCCAACACCCAAAGTTAAATGAGAAAAAGTTTATTTAGCTCACAGTTCACAGAGGTTTCAGTCCATCATCAGCAGGCTCCACGGCAGAGTGGTGTGGCAGAAAGGCATCACAAAGGAGAAACGGTTCACAGTGGGCAGAAGGTAGCAAAATAAGCAAGCCACAGGACAGCCATAGGTCTTTCTATCCTTGTATCTTATCCAGGCTAGTGAGGGCAGTTAGAGTTCACACCTAGTACTCTTCAGCCTAACACTGCATTATGAATCAATCCCACCATCACGCAATCTAGATCGTCACCTCTGAAAAAGCCCCACCACCTCTGGCTGCATGGGGTTTTGGGGGAACATCTACACACGAGATGTAACATTCTACCCTTGTGTCCCCAAAGACTCGCGCACATCTCTTTACACAAAAGGTATTTCGTCCATCTCTAAGAGTCCTAACAGTTTTGGCCTTGCTGAAATGTCCAAGTCCAAAGTCTCTTGAGATTTAAGGCAAACTTTTAGCTGCAAGGCCCTATACAAATGAAAAGAAAGTCAAACACTTCCAACGTTCGGTGGCCTCAAGATGTACATTTCCATTCCAAAAGTTACAAGCAGGGGAAGCAAGGAATGGAACAAACCAAGACCAAATCCAGTAGGGTAGACATTAAACCCCAGTTCCCCTTCCAGCACTCCCAGCAATCTGTGGCAAGGCATGAATGGTTCCACCCCATTCATGGGGCACTTCTGGTGGTTGCAGCTCCCACTGCTTCTCTGTGGGGCTGCTTTGCTCCCTCCTTGCAGTTTTCCTCAGATGCTTTATGCTTCTGGCTTCTCCACTGCACCTTTGCTTTACAGTCACAGCCTCACACACAGCCCTCTCAAGGGCACATTGCCTAACCTCTTAGGCCTTCTTCTGAAATCTGGAAGGCTTCCTGACCTCACAATTCCTGCATTCTCTATCCACCACGTTGATGATGCCAAGGTCAGCTGTGAGCTGGAACAGAAGCTAAGCTGCCTTCTCTCTTGTGTCAAATGCTTATGAACAAAATTCTGAAGGACAACTTTCCTAGGTTACTGCCATTCTAGAACATGGTGCTTTGGGCTCTCTTCTCAAAGCAAAGTCTTTCACTTGCAATTTAAGGCTTCACAAGGTGGATTCCTGCTACTACTTCTGATGCCCTCAAGCCATTTTTTTCTACTCTCTTGTTCCTTCTCAGCAATCAAGATCTCCTCTGCTCTATCTTTGCAGTCCACAGCTTTACCAGAGCTTCCTTTCTGGGCCAAACTCACAATGTTTTTTAAATCATTTTGCTGGGCTCTTTGCTCTTGACTCTCAAAATAAATCTGCCTACAAACAGCAGCCATGCCACTTCAATATTAGACTGCCTTAAAATGACTTTTGCTAAATTAATTAGTCCGCTGCCCTTAATCTCAGTCTCAGGCAGAAGTTCTGGACATGAGCAAATGGCAAACTCCTGCCAAGGCATAACACAAATCACCTTAAGTCCAGCAACCTGTGCAATACAGTCCTTCTTAGCAAAACCCTCTGAGTCTGGTCTTTACTAGCAACATTTCTATCAGCATTCTGGTCTTTTAAACTCTGACCAGAATCTCCCATCAAATACAGTCTAAGGCATTCCAACTCTTTCCCAGGTGGCAGCTCCATTCCTTTCCTGTCTTCCCTTTCCCACAAGCCAGTTCCAAAGGCTCTTAAGCCACATGGTCAGATACAGTCACAGCCAACACCACCACTCCTGGTACCAAATTCTGTCTTAGTTACTTTTCTCACTGCTAAGACAAAATACCCACCAACCAAAGGTAAAAGAGGAAGGTTTGTTTAGCTCACAGTTTGTAGAGGTCTCAGTCCATCATCAGCTGGCTCCAAGACAGGGTGGTATGGCAGAAAGTAGAAACAGTTCATAGTGGGCAGAAGGTAGCAAACAAGCAAGGGACAACCACAGCTTTTTACTTCTTATATATTATCCAGGCTACTTAAAGTGGGTAGCACTCACACCCTTAACCCTAGTGCCCTTGGGCCTAGCATCATACCATGGATCAATCCCAGTTTCACACACCCTTCAACCAAAAACCTCTAAAAAAGCCCCACCACCTATGACTGCCTGAGACTTTGGAGTTTCAAAGACATAAGCTGCAACAAAAGCATAAAGGGTTTGTCTAATTTTTGACAGAATTTATGTTTCCTTTTTTGGAGGGAGTGCTGGGAATTGAACTTAGGACTTCAGGCAAGCATGTTAGGCATATACTCTACTACCGAGCTAAATAACCCCAAAGTTTCCTACATTTTGCTCCTTTTATAATAAAAAGCAACTGATTTATAGACTAGAATCTCAATTTTAGAACCACTAGTTTATGACTGCTAAGCTGCCTCGTGTATTTCCAGAATATTTCCTAAAATGCTGTCTTAATTCCTTTTTGCTCGTTGCTGGGACAAAATACTCAACACTCAAAGAAGGAAAGGTTTATTTAGCTTACAGTTTTTGGAAGTTTCAGTCCATAGGCAGCTGGCTGCAAGGCAGGGTAGCATGGCACTGAGGCAACACTTTAAGGCATCAGCCAGAGCAAAAGGGGCGGTAGGGGTGAGGGGGAATGTAAAAGCAAGCCTTTTTCCCTCCCTTATATTGTATGCCACTCCCTGTGGCAAATGTACCATTCACCATTACCACTACTGATGCACTAACAAAATGTTTGCTTCCTGTCCCCATGACCTTATGTTCTGCTGGCTTAGAAGTTTTGGTTCCAGAGCAGGGAAGGCTTATACCAGGAAACGCAACTGTAAAATTGGTGATAAAGATATTTGGGGCAAAAGTATGTGGTAGACCTCTCCATGCAGGCTGAGGATGTAAAAAGATTTGTTTCCCATGTAAATGCTCACCAAAAGGTGACATCATCAGAAGTGGACTTTAATAGCCAAGACAAATGACAAGTCCAAAATTTTAAAACTTATCCTAATTGATCAAGTTAAAGATTTTTCATTCAACATTGAACTACACAGTATTTTTACACATAGTACTTTTTTAACAACTGAGAACAGAACTCTTGCGTTTTCTTTGCTCTCTAGGCCAGCAATTATTCTTAACCATTCTCTCATCACCATTAGAAGTCTCCATTGAATGCCTGAATTCAGTCCTTACAATACCTGGAGACTCATTCTTCTCATCTGCTTAAGCAAAAGCTTCAAAGTGTCAAAAATAGTAAAGAAAGTTGTGGGGTTTTTTTGTTTTTATAGAAAGTATTTTTTGCATAGAAAGATTTAACTTATTGTTGGGTTTTGTTTTGCTTTTTTTAATACTGAGAATCAAATTCACGACTTTGCACTTGCTAGACAGGTACTTATGCTACTGAGCTATATTCTCCAGCCCAATACCTTAACACTAAAAAGATCAGTTTTCTTAAAAATGTTTCCTTTTGCCAATTATTACAGTGGTTTTATGATTTTAGAATTGTTGTTTAGCCAGACGTGGTGGCTCATGCCTATAATCCCAGCACTGGGGAGGCTGAAGTGGGAGGATCGTAGGGAGTTCAAGACGGGCCTGTTCAAGACAGGCTCACAAAGTGAGCTCAAGGCCAACCTGAACTGCATAGCGAGACCCCGTCTCAAAAAAAGTCAAAAAAAGAAAGTTGTTTTAGGGTCAGGAATTTAGTAGTACTAGACTGATTTGAATTTAACCTTCCCACTGAAGGAACTTTATAAACCTGTTGCTGCAAAGAGTTGGAACAATGGTGAAAATAAGGCACTCACTTTATAGAGCTCTCAAAGTCTAAAATGATCCAGTAAATTCGATGATAGCCAACAAACAAGTTTTTTTCCTCAGTCCTTAACAATATAATACCACAGTATCTATAAATAGTTTACCAAAAACACCGGGGGAGATAAAAGGCATTGAAGCAGGGCTGGAGGTATATATCTCAG